GAGGACAACAGAGCTGCTTCATGGAAGAAGAACCTCAGCTTAGCCTGTTAGCCTTTGCGCTAGCGCCGACGCTATATTGCCTTATATGTATTAGCTCGGCCCTAGTGCTAAAACCGAACTAAAGTGAGGTCCTCCATCCATATTTTCAGTTGCAGGTTGAGACATTTTTGCATTTCCCTCTCTGTCATGTGGATGGAGGACCTCAGTAATGAGAGGAGAATGTGTAGCGCTGAGCTAATGCATATATATGATGATAGCATCAGAGATAATGCTGAAGCTAACAGGCTAAGCTGAAGTTCTTCTTCCATGAAGCAGCTCTATGTCTTCTAATGTTATACAACTAATTGGGGATCCCTTTAAATTGACTAAATAAAAAAAAAATAAAAAAATCCATGATGTGATGCCCAGCTCTCAGGCAGGAGAACCTCCTGACCTTTGCACCCTGGATGTTGGAGGCAGACACGTGCTCTTGATAAAGACCCCCCCTTACCCTACCACCTCCATCCTGGTACAGAGCTGCTTCAGTCACAGCCCACTTCGCTTGGATGGGAGAGCGAAGAGGGCCACTTCAAAGAACGGCACACCCTCAGGGGCCGCAGTGTCCTCTTGCCCACCTCTCTTTCTCTTGTTTTCATCGCACTCGCACACCCCCCAGGCCAGGAAAGAGTTTGCTTTATTAGATTAGCATAATTGACTGATGCTGTCACAGCCATTCATGAGTGGTAAAATGAAGCACACTTCCCCAACAATCCAGTCCCCACCAGCTTGCTGACATTTGTTTGTATTTATGTGTAGGTTCCAGGCAGCCTATTGTGCATCTGGTGATTCTTCTTCTCCTTTTAAAAAAAATGTGTGTTGCACATGAATGGGGAAACAAAAAAAAAAGCCCATGCCAGTCTGTCACGTTTWGAGTATGCGCTTCAGCGTTTTTTWWATTTATTTTTTTGTCAGCTGCAAGGAACTTATGGCAGCGCGGATGTGATCTGATGTGAGGTTAATTAAGATGATGATTGAGCACAGTGGATGGGTAATGAATGGAGGGGAGAGGAAGGAGCTGCYGTCTGACGATGAAAATGATCGGCCATGCGGAGTGTGGAGGGCATGAAATCGGAGATGCCAGTAGTAATGAAGACTGGCACACAGAACACACACGGGGACCCTGGTGACTGACAGCATGGAGACTTTACCAGGATGCACATGCTCCATGCCAGCAGCATGCCAACCTCAGACAAGTGACAGGGGAGGGTTTTTTTTGTTTGTTTGTTTTGTTTTTTATCTTTCACTCATGCTGTCTGCATAGTTTTTTATTTGACTCATTCTTTCCTGCCACAACTTATTTCAGCCTTAATTGGAGGAATGAGATGAGAGTGACTGGGACGTATGTCGCTGGAGTCTCATCTGTGTGTTTTCTCRTTCTCCTTGTTTCTGTGCAGCTGCTGTAGACTACCTTGCTAAGAATGTAAGCCTGTCCACCCAGAGGAGGATGAAACTCGGGGACCACTCGGCGGTGCTGGGGCTGCTGCAGGTGGAGACGGGACAAGCCTACTAAAGCTACGCCCCTGCACCTGTATCCCTCCGCCTCGCCCTCTTCCATCTTGCTCCGTTCACTCCAGCTCGGCTCCCGTGCTGCTTCGCTAAGACATCAGAGAAAGTGATGCCCGYAGGTTCAAGAAGTCACTTTGGAGAATGAAGCTAAACTTTTCAAACAGTTCTCAGTCTCTGGGCGGCGACACATCGTTTCCTCTTAATCACTTTGGCGCGTTCGCCTCGCAACTTGTGCTCCTGTCCATATCCAAAACTCTGTTTATTTCACTCAGAGGGCCAGATAGGACCCCCTGCATGGTGGATCTCAGCTGGCCTGGACTACTGTTTGTCATGGCTGCAGTCCAGCACCCATTTAGAGCCATCAATAACATGTACTTTGACCTCGCTGTTCATAGTAGTTAACAAAGCAAATATCATTTGACCAACTCTTCTTATTCTTGTTCCTTTATGATATTGTTCAGATTATTGTTGCTGTTATACGATTATGGTTAATGTGATTTTTGTTGTTCTTTGGATCCATTTGTATCTCTTTTATCTGTTAGATGTTTGCGTGTAAAAAAAAAGAAAAGAAAGAAAAAAAGACGAAGCACAGCGGATGACTGAGACGACCTGGGAGCGCATGTCTGTTGCGTGTTTGCGTGTCCCGCACATCCACACGAGAGAGGATGATTGTTTTCCAAGCTGCTGCTCCCCGAGCTCAAATGTTCGTGAGCGATTTGACCTTCTCACTTTCATATTCCTCCTGACATTCCTAAAGAACTTGGCCACTCTGTGGGAAGTCTGGCAGGATGGGATCTGCAGGGAATTGAAGCAGCGYTTTGGCGGCCAATAGCGTTTCCCTTCGTAACCTCCATCCCATCCTTAGCTGTGGCCCATAGGGAGGGGGCATTGTTTGCAAAAACAGGATTGGGGAAATTAATGTATTTTTAAATATGGACCTTGCCAAGGAAGGCTAACTGAGCCCCTCGTCTCCCCCYGCCACCAAATCCCATCTGTCAGGGAATCCTGGGTGGACTTAAACAGTGTAAAGCAGATTAAATCACACGAATTTAACGTCAAAGCTAATTCACAATGACCCCTTCCATTAGCAGCTAGTATTTCAGTTTTTAATCCCATCATTAAAACATTTTGTAAATGCACCTTCAGTTCATTCCTACTTTCTGACTTAATGATTTCTTCAAAACATTCCTCAGGCTTTGTCTATAAATTACACTCTGAGCTTTCCTGAATTATCTGTTGTGATTGAATAGAAGACAGGCTGTGCCACTCTTTAAAAAAATCTAGCTTAAATAATCCAGTCAGATGTGAAAATGCACAGATAACACTACTGATTGGCTCTCCTCACTTAACTTTGACATCCTGACTCAAATGTAAGAAAAAAATGATGATCTAAAAGAAAAGTTTGATACGAAAATTTTAGCATTCCTAGTGGGTTTTTGATATGACCAGCTGTTTCCTGGAGGTGTCTGTGATTTTATTTTCCTTTTGTTTTATACATCAACGCTCAGTTGTTAACACTTGAGACGAGACTCGGTCCTCTGTCAATATTAAAACTTAAAAAAAAAGTACATTGCCAGGATCAGATTGAGTATTGTTTCTTTATAAAGAGTATGTTTTATACTAAAACAAAGCTATGTTGAGTGGAAGATAAGTAATGGATCTGTGAAAGTAAATGTTTTATTTGAGTTTCTTTAACTGGTTTGTTTTCTGTTTGGCCTCAATTTTTATTTTTATTTTGGCCCACACAATGATGAGTTTGTATAAATTAGTAAAATCTAAAATGGAATTGATTTTGAGTGAAACTGTGTGTGAGGAGATCAACGTGAGCTGAACTTTCAGAGACTCCCTGGATCGTAGTGTATATTAAAAGAAATGGCGGGAAAAGAAATCGCCACCTAACGGAGATTTTTCACCAACAGCTTTTACAGACTGACTTTTAGCTCTGATCGGACCACGGACCCTACACTCCGGTGCCCAGAGCCTTTCTGAGGTGACTCCCTCGATGGTTCGAGTGACGATGTGAGTGACAGTAGACTCTCTTTGAAAGAAAACAAAGAGTCAAGTTTGAGGTTTTTTTTTTGGACCAAGACTTAAGGAGAATAAAGTAATGCTGACTCCGCACTGTACGGCAGCAGTTTTACTTGCTCCTCTTAGACACCTCACTTGTGTATATTTTAAAACGAAAGAATTTTAGAATTGTCTTTAGTGTATCAAACCCATTTCTAACACTTGCGTCAATAAACATTTGGATATTTAAGACATCCAGCTTCTTCCACTTCCTCCCGTCTTTTTGACCCTTAACCTGTTTAGTTGCTTTCTGACATCTGTGCTTTGCTTTCCTCCTTTTTTCTGTTCCGCATGTGTATATATTATCATGGTATAATTTATTCTGCTGTACGAAGTATTAGAGTAGTGGGAAACTTGTATTGGTATTTACTACCTTCAGCCTGTTGATGTGTTTAATGTAACACTGGCGTAACTGTTATCAATTAAAGATCCAAAACCGATTTGTCTGTTTGTCCCTTTTTTTAAATCTCCTGTCTAATTTCATTTTGTTGTGATTATTTTTTTACTGTGATACATTGTCTCTTAAAAAGATAATTAACAAAACTCCACTTCAAAACAACCAAACTACCTTCATTCTCTTTCAGCAAGATGAGCTTATATGTGTTTTATTACTAAATAACATTTAAGCTATTTTTGTGTTGAAGTGTTTYAAGCACTTTCTGTTTTAAGCCTTTTACATGTGAGTAATTGCAACATTTATCTCATTGAATTTATTGTGAATGATTTGATTTTATATTGTAGTGGACCTCGGGAAAACAAAACTGCAATTTTCGAAGATTCATTGCACAATAAAAAGTGTCCGAAGGAAATATTACCTTTTTAGAATAGTTGCAGGCCTCTTGTGACTTGTGCAACAAATCAACAACAAATCATTTATCTATGTACACCCAAAGCCTGTCCATGTGTCGCTGGTGTTCCACTTTGTGAGTATTTGTGGAGTCACTGGGGCACCATTGACTCTGTGAGTGCTGGTGATGTGATTAGCGAGTGATGAGAGAGCAGACGTTCAAGTCTGACAGACATTACAGACCAGAGGGTGTGTCTTGTTGCAGCTGTAGGAAGTAATTCATTCTGCCTGCTGACCAGCAGCGCTCATCTCTCCCACCTCTGGTCAGGGAATGTCGCCTGCAAATCTCTGTGGTATGGTGTAACTGTGGGGGAACTAACCGGTACAGTATGGCAGCATCTGTTGCGTTTTATGTTACACAACATAATAGTGGAGCTTATATACAGTATATATATATATATATATATATATATATATATATATATATATATGCAGTAGCAATACAATGTTCATCTTGTCTCAACTTGTAAAAATAGCAAACTGAGCTCAGTGTTGCATCATGGGCAACGCGTTTACAATTTACATTACACAAATTGATAAGAGTCATTTACCTGCAATTAAATTCAACGCTTGAAAGGTGTCACAGATTATATTGATTTGTTATTAAAAAAGCAAGTTTTACTGAATAAATCTGATGCTCAAAAAGTTGATGTTCATCTGAATAGCATCCCTTTTAAATTTCATTTTATGAGAAAAGAAACAGAATATTTACTCTCTTAGATTTTGATTCAAGTCATTCACAAATTCATTTAAAGTTGATACAAATAAAGAGTTTCTTCAGAAAAATACATTTAAAAAGAAGAATGTATTTTTGTGACATGTCAGTCATTTTTTTAAAAAATTAACTTTTTTTTCTCTGAGTATATTTAGAAGTGACTGACAGACTTAAAATATGCATTGTGGTGAGGCTCTTTGCCTCCTGTGTGTCATCTCTCATATATTCCTCGATAAGTTTGTGTTCTGCTTGTCCAGATTAGGCCCTGGCATGTGCTATGGTTGTCCCCTCTGCTCCAGTTTGCCTCCTGAGGAAGCCGGCCTGAGAGTTTTGCCTCCCTCCGGTGTGCTGTCACTCAGACCGGACGAGGTGGCGGCTCAGGCGGCGTTGTGCGGGAGAGCTCTCCGACACTTCCCACATCTTCTCCTTTGATCCCCTAATTGATTGACTACAGGAGCAGAGGATAAACAGAGCCCACAAGAGCCCATTCCCCTCGCCTTTCTGGAGTGGTTTAGATAAAAATGTAGAGGCCTGAGCTTTCCCTTCTCTCTCTCCTTCCTCTATACGGACACACGGCCATTGAAGGTGGCACTGTGTCATGGTGGCTTAGCTGCGGGGCTGTGTCCTCAGGCCCAGGGGGCTCACGTATACTGCCCTGAAGCATATATGGCCGGCAGTAATGGGTTTGTTTAGATCACAGGAATGGAAATGAAACTCCTGAGCCTTTTCTGCAGAAACCAGGAGGCCCATATCGCTCAGGAGGCAGCGACAGAAGAGCCACACAATCTCGGCCGGGCCATACTTAGTTTCACAATGAATCATGGAATAGAAACTGTGATTTAGATCTAATTTGGGACTCCTGAACCCCAACAAGCTGTGAAAAAAAAAGGAAAAGGGGAAAAAAAACAGAATATCACAAACAGCTCAACGTGCAAAAAAATCATTTTAAAGAAAAAAAGTGTTTAAGAACATAGCTTTAGAATTATTTAAACTAGTTATGTTAATTATATTCTAATTTTACAAATTTGTCTTCAGAAAGAGTTCAGAACCGTGTGCAGGTATGCTAAGAAATGATTAAGAGATGCTCTGGGGGTCTTGGTTTTATTCTTTGAGATTATGTGTCACAGGGAGTAAAAAGCTCCCAGCTGTCGCCATGAAAGTACTTACAGTATAATAATCCCCCAAATCCTGTAATTATGCCAGCATACGCTGTGTACCTGAGCCTCAGCTTTGTGCTCGTCACCTCGAGGATCCCCCTGACACAGACGCACAGCYTGCACCGCATATATCTCCTTCCCAACTAGGTACTTTGTGCTGGGAGAGAATCTTATTTCCAGCATATTTCAGGTATTTTGAATTTCATGCTTCTCCCCTCTCGGGTATTATAGACAGCTAATCTGTCGTGTTTAAGTAAAAAGAGCTCAAATAAGTATTGTTCTAGACTGAAGTCGCCCGATTTATCAGACATCAATATGTCCTCATCAAGAAATCTTTCCCCTATATTACATTCAATCATTTAAGTATTACTTTATAAGACCAGTCTAGACATTTAGATCCAGTGCTGCAAATGCAAATCTGCACACCTCCCTTAAAACAGTTTAAACAAAACAAGAGGAGGTGGGAAAAAGTCAGAGTAAAGTTGTAAATATAAGAAATCGGAAGGAGATAAAAATCACTGTGAAGCCTGGGCTCAATTTAAAATCGGAGCTGCATTCTCAAACTAATTAATATTAATAACAAAAATGGAAATGAGTGCAGCGGCAGCCCTAAGTGAAGAACAAGCTGGGTGCATTCAGTCAGGAGATTCATAMACAAGCCCTTTCTCTCAGGAGAAGTGGGCTCCAAACAGGCGTGACGGCAGGGCATAGACCGCCATACACACAGACAATTTTTCTAGATAATAGCCTATCACGCAGGATACAATTTAAATTAAAAAATGCAATTTTCACCTTGAAATGAACAAATGATTACAATTTCTATACAAATTAAGGCATCCAGGCTGCGCCTCAGTACTGTGCCAGGGCCATGAAACCTGACATAATTACCATGAAATACATTTTCAAATATTTGTATTTTGTCCATCGCTTTAAAACATGCCACTCTGCCTTCTGCGGGTTTGTGATCTCACCTTCTGGGGGAAACACATAAAAAGGGGAGAGAAAATCATCAGAGATGAAAAGCTCTTCAACAGGAGAGATAAAAATGTAGAGGGGGGGAAAAAACAACCTCCCATACACAGAGTAAATCAGCGCAGCTCAGCACAGCGGCCCCCAGAGCTATCTCTAAAAGCCAAATTACTGCTCCTTATCTAAGGAATCATATCTACCAGTTATCTGCTCCTGAGATAGGCTCCTCTCTCCCTCTCTTCTCTTCTCTCTCTCTCTCTTGTGCCGCGTGCTCATCGCCAGAAAAGCTATTTATTTGTGATTACAGACACCCTTTGAATAAAAGATGTTTGTGTTTGAGATTCAAAGTTTTGGACGGATTCTGAACTCCTCAGATTCTTCAGAGAAGAGAGTTTTTGAAGGCAGAACACCTTATTTGGGCGAGGTTGCTGGGGGGTGGTCTTCTACAGAGAGAGAGAGAGAGAGAGAGAGAGAGAGAGAGAGAGAGAGAGAGAGAGGAGGTGTGTGTGGGGTGGGGGGGGATGAAAGTGTAGCCGATGGGAAATGTGAGACAAGACCTCAAACTTCTCTGACGCTTCGTATCGCATATGCTTTCAGAGAGGATTCATACTGAGATGAGGTGTCGAATTGACTTTAAATGCTGAACTTTGAGAGACATAGTGGCAGAAAGTTCTGGCTTCTGATTTTTTTTTAAGAGAGCTGGCAAAAGTGAGAAGTTTCTCATTGATATTAGTAGCGTTAAGTGTAAGGAAATTTAAAAAGTCTAAAATAAGTTTTTTTGCAAGTAAATCTGTTTTAAAAGCTAAAAGCAAGTTTGATATGTKTTTAAAACAATAAGAGCACAAAAGATACGCACGTTCACATTCATCCTCTGAAAATAAATCCTCACCTCGCTGAGAGACAAAACACTAACCCNCCCCCAGACAAAGCAGCTATCAGAAACAACTTGTTCATCCTAAACACCTCCTTTGTCCCTCCACTTACCTCCTTTCTCCTTCCCCTCCATCTGTTGAAGTCCCTCAGCCAGAGAGGCGCACATCAGATTTCAATAGTTGACCTCTTAATGCTGAGGTCAGTGCTGCACCGGCAGCGATTTCACACTCAAGATGAAAGGGAAATGAACACTGAGGACGCTGGGGGTGACATGGGGCCCTGACCGCGCCAGCCACTGCCACTCTCACCGCTTCGCTGCACCCGGCTGGGAGCTGAGGTGAGTCCGAAAGGAGACGCTGAGGTTTGGAGAAAATCACTGACCTTCGACAGATAACCGGCAGAGCTGAGGAGGTTATATTTTTTAAAAAATCACAATTATTACTATTTAACTTACAGTCTGCATCTATGTTTGTTTGAACAAGAWGATGTCATCTTATAACTTTGATCAGTTTAATATTTATAATGTTTAAATCCATTTTAGTTTTTCTCGGTTTGACAAATATTCTGATTCCCGGTATTAAATAAAAAGGCTTTGCCCAGTAAAATAAAGATAGAGATGGTTCTGATTTCAGAAGAAATTCTTGTTCTCGTCCATTGATGCGATCCATGTGGTCGGGTGAATGGAAATCAGATGGTGGGCGTTTGATTTGTTTTTACGCGCACAAACATTTAAAAAAACAAAATCGAGCCCAAGCAACAACATCCTGTTTAAGTAGAAAATTTAAATGAAACATTTCAAACAAAAAATAAATACATAAAATAAAATAAAATACAATGAAATTAAATTTCTATTTATTTTCAAATTAAAGCCTGGGGCAT